TGGTCAAATAACACAAAAGATGGAGTATACAGGAAACGGAAGCTGAACAAACTAGGAAGACAGACGATTCCGCTGATTAATTCGGCCGTTAAACTTCGATATAAACATGCTCGGTCCGTGGTCAAATTTTATTATCTTTTTTTTTCTACGAAATTATATATTTTTTGAATATTTAAATTTTACTTAGGAGCTTTTTTTTTTTCTCTCTCCAGAATTATATAAATATAATATTTTATTTAATATATATTACAAATTTTATTTTGTAGAAAAAAATATTTTTTTCTTAGTAGAAGAACGTGTATAATAATTTTTAGATTAGCATTTTTACACCAAAAAGAAAAAAAAAACTTTGAGAAAAGTTTTCCTTATCTTATTTTATTTATTTTTTTCCAAGTTGAAAGACTAAAATGTCGTTTTTTTCATAAGGTTTTCCAAAGTTTGTTGAAATGTAAATAAAAATATTTTCATTAAAATATAAAAAAGTAAACATAAATTTAAAAATGTAAGTCAATGTCATTAATCATTTTCCGATCATAATATCTAAGTACATAGAAACTGAAGCTTTAAAAAATAATAAAGATTATTTTTTTACTAAAATGGACACATTTTCCATATTACTTTTTAAAAATTAGAACACAATTTTCTACACGCTTTACAATAGACGGCACTTGCCTATAACACGAATTTAAATAACACGGCAAAGAGATAGAAAGATAATATATTTACATTTCTTTATATTTATGAATTGTGAAGAGTAATGATAAACAGAAAAAAAAAGTGTCCAGGGATGGGAATCGAACCCACAGTGTTCCGCTTACCAGGAAGATGCCATGTCCACTAGACTACCCTGGACATATTTTTTTTCCGTTCGTAAATAATACATAAAGTAATTTATAATGCTGAATTTACATCTCTCTCTCAATCCATAAAATAATTTAAAAGATATATGAGAAAAAGTAAGACTATAATAACTAATATTATTGCAGTAAGGTCCGTATATAGATAATATTTTATGATATTATTAAAAAAGAAACACATTACCAAATATAATGTTCACAAATTATATATTTAATCATTCTATATACAGTTACGAGCGTCATTCCTCATCGGCCTCTGTCACCGTTTGCTTTTTTTTTTTTGGAATGGCGCCCTCCTATTGGTTGGCTACGGTCACGCCACCTTTGCCCCCCCCCCCCCCCATGCCTCCCCCACTCGCTCTTTCGTTTTTGTAACTATTGGTTTGGAGCGGGTCGCTCTTTAAATAAATGCATATATTAGTTAATAACTAAATGGAATCCTCTCTTTCTCTTTCCCAGTAAGAGACGCCTACGGAAGCCAACAGTACATAGACAGATAAAGCACATAGGCTATAGTTATTAACTAACATATGCATTTATTTAAGGCGCCAATTTATAATTGTAACAAATAGTATTTGAATCAAAACATTCAATCGGGTAAAACACGGGCGTTGCCCGGGTCATTCGGCTAGTTATTTTCATAAGAGAGAGTACAATTATGTGGGAATACATATTGGATGGGGCAAGACTGCCTTCTCTACTGAGTGAAAGGATCCATCAAAGGACACTACTGTAAACCTGACATACGATGTCTCCATAATGTCTATTGTGAAAACAACAAATTGCATAAACTTAACTGTATATTGTAGAACGACATTTGAAAATTATCCCGCATGTGTTTCTTTTGAACGAAAAATCGAAATTTATTTTAAGGAGAAATAACGAATATTTCTAACCTTAGGTATGAAGTATGAAAGGATGAATTGTGAAGAGTAATGATAAACGGAAAAATTAAAGTGTCCAGATATGGGAACACTGTGGATTCGATTCCCATCCCTGGACACTTTTATTTTTCCGTTTATAATTACTCTTCACAATTCATCCTTTCATACTTCATCCCTAAGGTTAGAAATAATCGTTATTTCTCTTTAAAATAAATTTAGATTTTTCGTTCAAAAGAAACACATGCGGGATAATTTTCAAATGTCGTTTTACAATCATAAGCCGCATTATATTGTATTATAAATATTAGCTGCGTATGTAAATATGGCGTATGTAAATATTCTTCTAAAGATATCAGCCACTGTACATACATGGACTTTCTCTCTCACTGATTTCTTGTGGCCTTGTGCGTCCACATGCGTGTTAATAAATAACTAATTATTATTAATAAGTAAAGAGAAGACATTTAAACACGCAAAAGTGGGGATAGAAGTTTGTTTTATGTGTAAAATAAACTTGCTTGGTCAAATATTTGCTTTTCTTATCTATCTTGTATATAGATTATTGTAAAGATAGAGGCTGCTTGGCCGGCATTCATAGTTCTTATAATTAAAGATACTTCGACCAGTAAATATTTTATTATCTCGACGTTTCTACAAAAAATCTTTTGTCCTTGTCAGAAGAAAATAAAAACTAAAACATTTAGCAAAGCCTTAAAAATTATTCTGAAATATAATTTTTAACGCCTTGCTTAATGTTTCAATTTTTCTTTTCTTCTGACAAGGACAAAAGATTTTTGTAGAAACGTCGAGATAATAAAAAGATTTACTGGCCAAAGTATCTTTAATTTTATATAGATTGCGCGTTATTTTCTTATAATTATTAATATTAGAAATTTCTTATAGAGCGGACAGAGGTAAAAATCTCCGAGAGAACCAATCAAAATTTTCCGTAGTTCTGTTTACCAAAACAACAGTTATGAATGACTATCATAACCCTTGAAATAACTAAAAACGGATATCCCTATACCAAGTCTTTCCTATCAAATCAATTTGAATGATAACCGTTATAAAATTAATTATCGATAATGGTCAAAATGGGGGGTAAGAGATAATCCTTTTATGGATCAGGATTTCCCCCCCCCCCCCCTTAGGGACGGAGATGATGATAGAATGATGATAAGGGGTTATCCCTTAGTCAATTTATGAGCCAACTCTCCATTTATCTTAATTTACGCCTCAGCCACATCCCTAAATACTTCATAGGAAAAAGAAGTAAAAAAAAAGTCATTTTTCTTTCCTCAAGAGTTAGAGGAAAGTGTTAGATTTCTATTTAGTTTGTATTTCTTCTGTGATAGGATTACTCTGTGAGCGGAAATATATCGAGGGGGGGGGGAGGAGAATTTATGGTGGAAAATATCTCAATGTATAGTTTGATATATGCGCTTGTGTTTGAATTTAATATTCTAAATGTAATTTTTATATATGGTCTGTTTGTATTTTTCATATTCTGAATGTATTTTATATTTTTTCCTTTTGACTTTTTTTAAATATTATGAATGTTTTTTTTTATATATTTTCTGTTTGGTACATTTCCAATTCTCAATAGATTTGCAATGGCTTACTAATATCTTTGCATATCTTACAATGTTAATGATAAAAAACAATAAATATGTAATGCTTATATCATTGGTCCACCCTCTATCGATATATTTACATAAGCATACTAATCACATTTGCATATCTTACAATGTTAATGATAAAAACAATATGCAGTGTTTACTTGATATCATTGGTTCATTCTCTATTTATAGATTTGCATAGGCTTACTAATCAACTTTGCATATCCTATAGTAGCAATGGTAAAAAACAATATGTAGTGTTTACTCGATACCATTGGTCCACGCTCTATCTATAGATTTGCATACCCTACAATATTAATTGTAAGAAAAAAAATATTTATTGCTTACTTGATATCATTGGTCCATTCTCTATTTATAGATTTGCATAGGCATACTAATCAACTTTGCATACCCTATAGTAGCAATGGTAAAAAAAACAATATGTAGTGTTTACTCGATACCATTGGTCCACGCTCTATCTATAGATTTGCATATCCTACAGTATTAATTGTAAAAAATATATTTATTGCTTACTTGATATCATTGGTCCATTCTCTATTTATAGATTTGCATAGGCTTACTAATCAACTTTGCATACCCTACAATAGTAATGGTAAAAAAAACAATGGTGTTCTATAGGACTACTAACAAGAGTTACTTCCACCCGGAAGGGAAGATTAGAGAATCTACCTCATTAAATCTTCCCCTATTCACACACGCACCTCGGCATATGCAACAATGGGACTTCTTCATTCAATCGACAGCGCTGCTGCTGTATTTAATCTCAAGGTGATTGTTGATCAAGATTATCTCTGTGTTACTATGGCCTCCGTAACCTGAATACAGCAACAAGGTCAGTTTATACCTCGTTGAAATTCCTATGGCAACCACCTTTTGTTTTTCTTTATTTAGAAAGCTAAATGGTTCGTTGAGCTTTCACTACGCTGATAATGGCCAACAGCTCGAAAACACGTTTGTAGTTCGCTGTTGATTGAAACGGAAAATCTTTTTACTTCTCGTAAATGAAGAAAATCAACGTTTAGTTTGTTTACTCCGATAGATGGCGTTAACAATCTTTTAAAAGTTTAGAGATCTATAATAAAGTGTTGTTTACATCTTTATTAAAAAAGATCAGTAGATATGCAAAATGGGGGAAAGTAAATATGACATATTTGTTTGGGAAAATGATGCTTTTATGCTCCATACATTTGGTTCAGCGATTTTGTCAATCTCTATTTTATCATCATCTCTAAACCATGATACCTTCATGAGTACAACCTAGGTTCTAAACTTTCATACAAAATACTCTTTCACAGCGTTAATGATATCTTTATCAACTTTTTATTTGCATATCAATAAAATGACCTCTTGTATCAATATTAAGGTTAAAATATCAATCTTTCAGGGAAAATTTTCATTTCAAAATCTTTATTCACAAATTTCTAGCTTTCGTGCACGCGAAAGCTAAAGAGAAAGATTTTGAAAAGAAACTTCTCCCTCTGGCAACCTGTTATTTTAACCTTAAAATTTTGATTTGCATATTTTCTCTTCAATAGACGTGGAATGCAAAACCTTTTGCACTATTTAAAGTACAACTCTGCCATTTGAAAAAAAAAAAAAAAAAGTTCTTTTTTTTTTTTGACGAAATAAGAGCTCAGTTGGGAGCATGTTCGACTGAAAATCTAAAGGTCCCTGGTTGATTCCGGGTTTTGGCTTTTTTTTTTCCAATGTGGTCTAGTGGTTAGGATACTTCACTCTCACTCAGAAGGCCCGAGTTCGGTTCTTGTCGTTGGAACTTTTTTCACAACGAATAACGCGTCCAACTACGGATAAGAAGATTCCAAGTTTGAATCCTGGAACGCGCGACTTTTTTTTTTTTTTGGCCTATGCCCTTACCACATTGAAAACACCGGTTCGCGTCCGATCACCGAAGTTAAGCAATGTCAGGCCAGGTCAGTACTTGGGAGGGTGACCACTTTGGAACACCGGGTGCAGAAGGTTATTCCCTTTTTTATTTTTTATTATTTAGTTTAAAGAGTTCTTATAAAACGAATGGTGCACGCGGGGGAAATAAATGAAGTTCTTTATTCATCCTACTCTATACTAATGATTACCCAGTGTGTTTTATTCAAGCAACAACAAAAGCTCCCTAAAACGTAACCTTCCAAACACATTAACCTACAAAAAAGAACTTAAATCAGGGTAAATACCAAAATGTTTGGCAAGGAGAAAGTAAAGCAATGTCCATTTGTAAAGGTCAGAACAACTATTACGGTTATGGCAGTTTGTGATGCAACTTCACTGCCATTTTTACATATATAAACACATATTTACCTAATGGTAGAATATTTATATATATAACACATATTTGCATATATAGGTAACACATATTTACATATTGGTAGAATATTTACACTTATATAACACATATTTGCATATATATAACACATATTTACATATTGGTATAATATTTACATTTATACGACATATTTGCATATATATAACACATATTTACATATTACAACACATATTAACATTTATACAGCACATAGGTACAGCAACATATTTATATAAAAACCATAAAACCTTTACATAAATACGTTGTTGTACCTTGAAAAAGGTTGATATTCAGCTTATTGAAATATTGTAAAATACAATATTTCAGTTAGCTGAATATCAACCTTTTTCAAGGTACAACAACGTATTTATGTAAAGGTTACATATATGTCATAGGTATTAGTGAAAAAGTGAGAAGTTTTGTTCAAAATCGAATATACCATTTTGTGACATCCGCTCACCCAGAATACCACTAAACCATAGCAACTGTACTGATGAGGGTTATAGCCCGAACCTTGGTATATAAGTTGGAAAATCCAAATTTGCCGAAACTGTGATATTGTGGAACATACCCACTCATCGTAATCTACACAATGTTGTTAGAGATGGCCAAGAAATGAATTATTTTTTCTTATTTCTTTTTCAAAGAGGAAGAAATGGTTCTTCCGTGTGAAAACTATCTTCCAGCAAAATCACAACACATCCTGTTTCTAATTAATTCAGTACGATTTGAACTTTCGAGTTGGTTACCTTTCTAAATCTTCGAATGAAATATCATAGGAATGCTCGAAAATAAACTAAATCGAACACATCCAAACCACAGGAAACTTGTACAGTTGTTGACCATCCTTCAACATATTGCGGAAGCTTTCGATACATCGTGCGAGATCTTCTTTAAGTTGAATGGGAAAGGCGTGAGAGCCAGCCGTGGCTCCATTATGCAAATATGTCTCCGTATTTGCATACAATCTTGGCGGCCGGACTGTTGATGAGTAATTGCCTATATTTAGTATGGACGCTATATGTTTTTGTTTTCATATATTTAAACTTCCATCAATATATATTTACTGTATGTATATACATTCATGGACAAAACTTAAGGAAGTTGTATCTTTTAGCATGTATATCGGGACAATAACTCTGAAAGATATTACAGTGACCTTTATTGAAGACACACGAGATAACCAAGTGTATATACACTCATGGACAAAACTTAAGGAAGTTGTACCTTTTAGCATGCATATCGGGATTCAGACAATAACTCTGAAAGATATTACAGTGACCTTTATTGAAGACACACGAGATAACCAAGTGTATATACACTCATGGACAAAACTTAAGGAAGTTGTACCTTTTAGCATGTATATCGGGATTCAGACAATAACTCTGAAAGATATTACAGTGACCTTTATTGAAGACACACGAGATAACCAAGTGTATATACACTCATGGACAAAACTTAAGGAAGTTGTATCTTTTAGCATGTATATCGGGATTCAGACAATAACTCTGAAAGATATTACAGTGACCTTTATTGAAGACACACGAGATAACCAAGTGTATATACACTCATGGACAAAACTTAAGGAAGTTGTATCTTTTAGCATATATATCGGGATTCAGACAATAACTCTGAAAGATATTACAGGGACCTTTATTGAAGACATACGAGATAACGAAGTGTGAACAAAATTGCCTCTATCTCCTTCAAAAAAAAAAAAAATAATAATAAATAAAATCAGACGGCCAGCGACATCAAAGACTTTCCATTTCCTTATGTCTTGTCCATGAGTGTAACTCGCATAGATCATAACAATAAACATGGCCGCCTTAATTGCAGTTGTATTCTTGTAATTTCATTCCCATATGAACTCCTCTAGCCACTTCCCAGTTTAAACTTCAGTCATTTACTTTAACATAAAATGTTATTAAAAAAAAAAAAAAGACGACCGGCGACATCAAAGATTTTCCACTTCCTTAAATTTTTTTTTCTATGAGTGTAAACATTTTTTATGTTTTTTTTTTCTTTCGAAATTTTTAAAACATAGAAAGAAATGGGATGGAAAAGTTGAGTAAAGTATCCACATATATCACAGCAGGAACGACATCAGTAGAATGCACAACGCGATAAGCTGGGGACCCACAAAGAAAAGATGAACAGTACTGTAAGTGCATTCCAATTAATCCGAGATAATTGGGAGAGTAGAATGGGAGGTTCCATTGTTGGATGGCCAACGATGGGATATCTCCTCGGCCATCTTGGTCAGGGTCACTTGCTATGGGCCTGGCTCATCACTGCCACCTACCTCACCCTATAATTGGAACACCCAGCCCTACCAGACCATATCCTCTAGGTCAGCTACTCTTCATAATCCGCTCTGCTCCCCCGCTGATTGTTTTTTTTTTTTTTTTTTTTTTTTTTAACTTTTTATCTTTTTATCCATGCCGCCATATTTCTAGTTGACTAACTATTGAAAGAAGAAGAAACACAAGTTTTGGTGAAGAGTTTTTTTATATAACAATCAGAACCCATCTCTGTATAATGCTTCTATCCAATGTTTCCATATAATGGCTGAAGTTTTGAGTGAATTGTTGTGACTGAAATATCACCGGACTTAAAGAGGAACTCGGTCACCGACCATTGTCGGATTCTTGTGTTCACATTAGGCTCCATATCTGAAAAAATACAAAAGATAAATCAATTCTAAACACAAGGTAATAAGACCAAATCCAAATAAATAAATAGTGTGTGACGTTTCGGTAACAGCGTTGTCATTCAATACTTTTGTCTGAAGATGGTAACAACGCTGTTACCGAAACGTCACACACTTTTTATTTATTTGGATTTGGTCTTATTACATTGTGTTTATAATCTATAATCCAAATTGTGCCTTATCAATAAATCAATTCTGATTACAGATATGAAAAGCACAGTGTATTAATTACAATAAAATATGTATTTTATGATATTAATTAATTATATATTTTGCTAGAGGTGATTGTACATTACTTATTGACCCAACCTTGTAAAAGGACAATCATACAAGATTTAGGACAAGACGCCCTTTAGCGGGTACAAAATGATTTTTATTATTTGTGTGAATATTTGATGCCTGGAAAAAATCGTTTATTATATAGAGAAATTAGTTTTATTATTAATTTAAAAATGTATTTTCACAATATAATACAACTCTCTACAAATACAGTTAAACCTGTCTATAGTTCCCCCTCTAAATAGCGCCTTCCTCTCTATAGCGCCCGATTTTAAATAGGTAGTACGATGTGATTTACATCAAAGGTTACCTGTCTATAGCACCCCCTCTGAATAGCGCCTTCCTCTCTATAGCGCCCGATTTTAAATACGTAGTACGATACGATTTACATTAAAAGTGACCTGTCTATAGCGCCCCCTCTCTATAGTACCCTGTTTTGGTGAGTTCCGAAGGGGGCGCTATAGACAGGTTTAACTGTATATATTTTTAGAGAATAAAAATAAATTAGTTAGAGATAAAAAACAAAACTTTAATAGATATAAAACAAATAAATTCGACAGAAACATTGAAAGTGTTTAAAGATAGGTAGGTCATCTTTTGATGAGGAAAACCTTGGCCGCATTTCTGGTTCTGGTTTCTACCGAATGTTCTAACTGGCCATAAAATAGAACTAGTTTAGTGGAATTCCATTAAATCCTAGATATCTTTATAGAGATGGTCTAGTTTTATTATATAGTTTGTATCCATAAAACACGATAGACACTGAATCTAGTTAAGTAAACTGTATATGTGATATTTCTGTAATTGTCATTGCTACTATGTAGCAGAAATATCATGTTGTCGAATTTATTTATTTTAAATCTAAAAAACTTTTGTTTTTATCCTTAACTAATTTATTTGTATTCTCTAAAATATATACAGTTAAACCTGTCTATAGCGTCCCCTCTTGTGACTCATCAAAATAGGGTGCTATAGAGAGGGGGTGCTATAGACAGGTCACTTTTAATGTAAATCGCATCGTACTATGTATTTAAAATCGGGCGCTATAAAGAGGAAGGTGCTATTTAGAGGGGGCACTATAGACAGGTTTAACTGTATTTGTAGAGAGTTGTATTAATTCATGATTCAAGTTAAAAATTGGGAGAAAGGTAATTTAAAATTAGAAAGTTTTCACAATAGGGGAGTTTCTTTCTTTATTATTTTTTTATTTATTAAAAATGTTCTCTCTCTTCAGCTTTAAAACGGCAATCATTCATCGACAGACTTATAGAAAAACATGGACCACGTCTAACTCTTGAAATGTTTTGTAAGTCTACGTGGAAATCTTGGATATATACAACCTAAATTGCAGGTGAATCGGTCCCCTAAGACTGGTATACCATCTCAATCACACACACACAAAAGCCTTTATTAAGACACACAGGTCTTACAGAGGATTCTCCTTGGGGTTACAAGACGGAGAAACCTATGAAAGTGGGAAATATACAAGGGGGTAAAAATGGAGAAAGATTATATACATATGGTAAATATATACAGATTATTATTTGAATAATCCCATGGAAAATAAGAAAAAATTGGAAATATGGATGGAAGAAGTGGAGAGCGAAAAGAGGAAAGAAAACAGGTATTTACATATGGAACATACATATAATGGAACAAGTCAATTTAAGC